GATGTCCCTTGCCAACGCCGCGTGTGGTGTATACGGGTACGGTTCTCAAGGGAGGCTAGTTCTTGAATTTGCGCCTGCGAAGGAGTGTAAACCTAACCTGTATAACAGTACTCCGGCGAAGCAGGTTGGAGGGTCAGCCGTGTAGCGTCCGATGCCGACAAAAGTCCAACCTGAGGAAGAACTTGTGCAACGCCCGCCTCTTGTGACCATTCCCTTTCTTTCCTAGTAATCCTGGCGTGCTCTGAGCTGACATACCGAAACGCGAGTGGGAGAGTGCAGCCCGACCCCGAGTTCTGTCCCTCGCTGTGAGCCGTTGCGAATAACAGAAGTCTTAGGAGATAGCTGTCACGTGCGGTTTATAGCAAAAAGAAATTCCTCCTGTACGCACGGAAATACATTTTAGGTGCTTCTCTGTCTATATTCCACACTTATCGAGCCTAGTTGAAGTCGCACTCGTTCCGTTAATAATCTCAGTAAACTTGCTGTCTTTCACGACCTCCCCTCAGACTCTGTCTGGTCCGCAAAGGGTATAGTGCAAGGTCTGCCTGACCTATTATAAAGCGGCTTCAGGCATGGGGCGTTAGATGGCCTGAGACGATCTCCTCATTAGTTACGACAATTGCTCAAAGGATCTGTGGTGAGGGCGGACACTCTCTTAACTTTACCATCGCTGCTCTCACCAGCCGGCCCGCGTCTACAAAATCCGGTCACTGCCCATTATGCGAAAGAAGCAAGCAAGTTCACGCGTCTTCCAGTCTACCTTGGGACAAGAGTTAGTAGGGCCATGCGCAGATATCTGGCGCAGGGCGCCCTGACTATAAGAAGGTTATTGTCTCGGAGTAAAAATGGTTACTTTCGAGTGCAATTAAAAAGGACACCTAAGTGCTATGTGGTCGTAAACACTGACTGGTACTATAGTCCGGTACTAACTAAAGGAGCGCCCAATCCTGCAGAAGAACTAAGAGGCACTAGGTCGAGACGGTAATAAGGATGATGGACTATTTTGAAACGAAAACGACTAAAGTTGGGCTACCGTTTTAAAAGCTTTTCCTTCTGTAGGAGACAGAGACAAAATCTTGACCTTAAGAGGCCCACTGAGCTTACAGTTAGGTCCGAAATGGCACCCTCAATCTGAACTACGGATGCCGACCCATCCGACCAACAGAGAGTTAGTCGAGTCCAGGTACCCTAAGCTCGGTAATACGCGATCCTTTCCCCCAACCACGGACCATGAACATTCATCAGGGAGAGGGTATGAGGCCACGTCTACAGCTCACTCTGTCTCGTCGAATGTGAAGCTTTCTAGAGATATGTAATGACTGCTACTAATCAGAGATAGCGAGAGCAAAACCTCCTCTACTCGTTCTTAGTGGGCGGATGTAAAATGTCCCAACATGTTGAGTCTAGAACGGGATCAATTCCTTTATTGACACGAATACAAAATTCCAACTAGCTATGTAGTCGGGTTACCCGCAAAATGGTACCGTGTGCTTATTTACCCGCGGCTAGACCTATCTAATCTGAGAGTCGCTGTGTCCGGTCCCAACGTCCGCAAGGCTAGAATCATAAATACCGCACGTATGTAGAATCTGCGAAATCCATCTCCGTCTCGGAAAGCTACGTGGTGCGACCGGTAGATGAGGAGATAGTAACTTAGTATGGCGGTTTGATATATAGGAGCTGGGGTCAGGGATGCCGCCGAAGTCAAAAGGCCCGGTGGCGGAATTAGCGAATGGGTATCATTAATAGCGTTTGGATATCTGCCCATTTGGAGCCCGCAATGGGTCTCACAGAATGCCAGCGGATTTGCGGCCTCGAATTATGGTTCGGTGAATTTTCGGTTTTACCGAACGCGAGGAGTTCGAAGGTCGACGCCAATCTCTCTACTCGATAGTCATTCTTTTCCTGCTGCAGCGGGTCCCCAAATACACCGTTTTCTTGTTACTGGCCTCGAGGCCACCTACGACTCAACCCTACGGAACTAACTGGATTAACTAGGAGTTACCACTAGACTAGTCTAGGTGCACTTACCCCCCAAGGTACCCCATTCATGTTTGAACGAGAGTCCCACAGCCGAGCCAAAGAGAATTCTGTGACGCCGGGCAATCCACTACGATACATGTAGATGAAGTTTCATTACTGTGCAGAGTCCCTGAAAACTTATTAAGTAAAGGTGAGCCGACCATCTAGTATTGATTACGTTTCGGCCCTTAGGGTCGTACATCAGGACAGGATCCTCGTAACAACAACAAGCTTGGGATCATTGGATTCGTGACACGAACCTCCACTGCCGAACTTTGGTTACCCAGGGTTTGAACGTAATGTCAGACCACGTTATGATGGATGGGACTAGACATGTGTCCCCATGGAATGTATGCGCTCACCCTAAAGCAGGTTGCTGGGTCCTCCTGAGACACAAGAGCTTTCAGATGCGATGGTAAATGCTCCAGTCTGCATTCCCCCTCCGACCAAGCTTGATTGTGCATGAATATGCGCTCCAGAAACGCCAGAACCCATTCTAGTGGTCCAGCATGTCTCGATGACGCCCAGCTACTGAGGGGTTGGGAGCCTGAACAACTATGCAATGGTGCTAGCCACTAAGGGCAGTAATCTCCTCAACAGACTGTACTCTGTCTTTATATATACTCTGAGTTCTCTAAGGTTTAGGCTCTTAGCTATAGAACGCTGAGTATAAAGTCGAGGAGGTGGTCTTTAGGAAAGAGGTCATAGTGTACACCCGGCCCTCATTTCAAACACACATGATTTCCCTTTCATTGCACTTTGGATAATCAACCCTTAGTGTTGTTCACGAGTTGACACGCAGATCCCTCTGGCCCCGTGCAATGCCGCGGCCGCATGTGGCTCTTACACTACCACGGACACGTGGCAACTTATCCCATCCTTGAAAGGGGGTTTATTAAGGGAGCTGGGCGATTACAAGAAATCGATCACTGATTTCACACAAACGTACAGAGGTAAAAGGTAGCCCGATATGCGTCTTTTCGGTCCAGTGATGTGGAAAGCGATCTGATGTAAAGCGGTTCGAACCATTGGGCTCTCGGCTCGTTTACCCTTAGGACAGCCTATAAAAACCTTTATTCATCCGTGAATGCAATGCAGTTAAGTTTCTGTAGCCGCCTTCTATGATCCGAGACAATCGGGATAAGTGGGATCTTACAGCAGGTCCGAACCTGCTTCAAGACTACTCCATTCTTTGGGCAATGGCAAGAAGACCTGGCGTCGCCACCCCTCTGTCTCGCCTCTCGATCCACCCGTCTTCCATTGCGACCGAGTAGTGGGCGGTGCGTCAGGCAGATTTATCTCTTGAGCCTTATACCATCTGTGCTCCCCAGTCCTAAGGGCTTCGCATATAATCACATTGAACACCAGGCGTTTATTTTGGTGCGTACTTAGTTGCTCAAAACAAGCACGGTCACACTCTCACCAGCCAATACGTTGATGGACACTTATACTTACATGGTTAGCGAGCAATATCATCCACGTGCTAAGCCTACTACTGGGACTGCGTGGATGAGACTAGTAATCCCGCTGGACGGGAGTTGACGGACGAGTTAACGTTTCACACGACCTTGAATGGTGTGGTTATGGTTGTGCTCTTTGTAGTTTAACAGTCGGTATCCTCACTCTTAGTGCGAAGTCGTGTCTAGTTAATATTGTTGTAGGAAAGGCTTTCAGATTGATAAAAGCCTATCCGGGGTTATACCGTTCTGTAAGTATGTATGCCAACCACACCACTGGGCCCTAGAGTGGGGCATACGAAGTCCGTAGAAGCCATTCCGATAATGAGAATCCTCACCTCATAGTGTATAACAGTTACCGTACTCCGACACACCCCCAATGGTCCCCTTTCTCAAGTCGT